GCAAAGTTAATAAGATAATTAGGGTAGAGAGAAGTTTTAAAAGGTCCTTCCTACAACCTGTCCTCAACACTTCACATAACCAGCATAGAAAATGGGCTATATCATATATTGCCCCAGACATGCATTTGCATAAGCACTCATACATAGAGTTCACTGAAATCTTTCACAGTGTATTACACTCAGTGTTCTGCTGTAGCTTACCTACAGGGTTCTAGATTCCAGGGTCAAAGTTTCCCTGCAAACTTGAATGTATGCATATCATTTTAATTTTTCTTTGGAGACAGGGGCATCTTGCTCCCAAGTTCTATTCATCTTTCTTAAAGCATCTGAGGCTGGGGTAGAAGATGATCACATCAGTAGGGAGTGGCTTGCAGCTAACATGCAAAGTACACTTACTTTCAGTTTCCAATGCCTCCATCAAACTGACTTTAAATGTGTCTGGTCCATCAGGCTGTGAGAATATCATGACTGACACTATCTATGGCAGTTTTGAGAATCCCTTCTCTCAATAGTGTCAGTCACACTGCTTTCTGGGTTGGGGCCAGTGGATGTGCTCCCTCTGAATGACTCAAGTTTGACTCACACAGCCATGACTCCTTTGAGGAGTACACTTAAATCCACGGCATCTCCTGCCCCATTGCTAAGCTAACTTCTCTATTATTCTTCCCAGTTTTCTACCTAGTATCTAGTGAAGCTTTCCATGACACACAAGGATAAACACACAAAAAATATACCTAGATTGCTTTGTTTCACATACTCCAGTGGGATAAAGTCACAGCTACGTAAACCCAATCTAAGGTTATAAAAACCTTGGTACTAGGTTAACGTTTCATTGATATTTTTTTCCCACGGGAATTCACCTCTTCGAAGGATCTATCTCCTAGAGAGCCAAAGCTCCACTATTACAGCCAAGACCTACTGCACAGGAGGGTCTGAGATCTTTTACCGTCTCATCCTAACAACTCTAAGAAGTTTAGGAAGGTCTAAGCCCTAAGATGTCCCAGCTATTGCAATTTTTCCTTTATAAGCATTAATTACACCCTTTATCTTTCCAAACAGAACCCGTGGAAATTTAGTATTTGCCTGGTTTCTGTCCATAGTTGTAAATTGCTTCTTTTCCTGTCCGGTGTTGGTGTGCATCTCTGTAAACTGCATCTGGAAAGAATTTAGATTTTCTCTCTACCTTGCAGACTTAATACTAGTTGTTAAAGTGAGGTGGACGAGAGGATCCCTGCCAGTTAATGAGTAACTTTCCCTCCCCAGAGGAGTTAGTAATACCCAGGATGCTATTCAATATTTTATTCTGCAATCACTCATCCAATTCATCCTTGATTATAGGCAATAAAATGGAGGATCACTTATAGAGCTGTTGACCATAAAATTTGTCATTTTCACCATAACTTACACACGCTTCCCTCAAATCCTCTCAATCCATCCCCAAGGACCTTAGTTCTCCTCTTTCAGAACACATCTGTCACTATCACATGTCCATTGCCAAAACTGTCAAGAACAATGAAGAGTCTGAGATTTTATCTCATTTGTCAGTTAACAAATTATGAACCCTGCCTTTTTCTGGTGTACAGTCTATGTAATTTCTACAAACTTCTGTAATTATTTGAGGATATCACATAGATGTCTTCAGCAGATGAATACACAAGTCACAGCATAGAGATGACTGATCAAGTTACAACCAGAGTTTGTCTGCTTGATCCTGAGATTTTAGGAAAACCAAGCTTATCTGTTAGTGTTACAATTTATGCCTTATATAAATTGTATTTGGAATGCATGACTATCTCTTTAAACAATACATGCTGGGTAAGTCAAATTTCCAATTAAGTAACCTCAATATTGCATTTATTTATAGAAAATGCACAATCTCTAAGAAAAATTATGTAAAATTCATCCTTATAATGTATAACTAATGCTACTTGTTAAGTAGCTTCCTATAATATGATCATATCTGGTATTTTCCCAATAATAATGACTTAAATTGCTATCTTCTAGCTAGCAGTGATTCAGTATATTTAAATTTCCTCATTTTCCTGCATCAAAATGGAAATTTGTTTTTTGAAAATGCATAGCTATGCATTTTAAAATCCTTTTAAAAGCATTCATTTTATTTGATGAGCTGTCTATTTGGTACCATACCTATGGAAGCAGGTCAATTTTAATAGAGGCATTAATAAGACATGTTACCCCCTGGTGCCTGAAGGTGAAAATATAATAGGTCTGCCTTCAGAGAAACATTTCTCAGTTCATCTGGCGATTGAATCAATTCTTCAGTTAAAGACATTTTACCTTATTCTTACATAAGAATTTCCCAATGTTATCACTTCTGAAAACAAAATGCTTCCTTAGTGTATTGGTCTTCATTTTTTAAATGAAAAATGTTAAATTCAAAGGACACTTTGATAATGAATCTAGAAGACAAATGCAGTGCACTGAGTTCACTATTCACTATGTTATTTACATTCTTACCAGGGCAGATTCTGCTGCAATCAGCATATTTGTATCCTCCAAAATAAAAAGCATCTTAGGTCACTTAATCTCTTCAATGCCCATAAAAGAGATGAATTGGCATTCCAAAACAATTGTTAATGTTTAAGTTACATTATTAACATACATTTTTATCTTGGGTGGATGCAGAAAATTCAATATCAAAATAATAGTGTCTTCAAGCTATCATTAAAGAGATGACTGGTTTTTTTGAATGTCTGATTCTATTTCAATATACTTTGGCAACTCACAAGAGTTGACAACTCAGATTCAACACATGACATCTGAGCATGGCAACTAATCATTTTACAGGGGGAAGTGTCCAGAGAAGCAAAAGCAACACTAAAAAGAATAAAAAGCCCAAAACATATTCATTCAAGGAATACCTATTTGTTAATAAATATACACTGGTTTCTTTTCCTTTTATTTAGCAGACTGTGACCTACCTGTTTTGAGAAATGTTTTTGAAATATTATTTTACGACATTTTGAGAAGACACATCTACTGATCATATTATTGAAGAATATTGTGATCATATAGCAATCACCCTTTTAACAGCTAGTAAAATTTTTGTCTATATTTTGTACATAAACATGTTCTGTAGAAAATTATTAGTATTTTAAATTTATAATATATTCTTATCTTTCTGAACACAACAAATCTAAGTTTGGTCTTCTGATGCAAAGAATGCTGACAGCACATTCTGGCTAAGCAGGTTTGTGAACTCAATCTACAATATGCTGTATACTAAGTGGGCACTGGCCAAGTGTTCTAGAGATGAGTTGTTTTTGGAAAGGAGAAAAAGATTATTTGGAATGTCTGACTTTTTGTAGAGGGCTACCAGGAAGGGCAGTGTACTTGAAGAAGGGAAACCCCTAAATGATGGAATACCTCCATTTCTTCTCTAACTCCAAAAACAAAGTTAGGCTCAGAAAACTAAAAAATTGAATGCTTTATTCCATAAAAGCACTTTCCTCAGAATTGTTGTATATTACACTGTTTTATAAAAGATACACATATAGTTGAATGAAATACACACTAATCACAGGAAAAACACGGCCCAAGTTTAACAAGCCTCAGCCTTTTTGAGAAGCATTTACCCATTATACATGCCTTGAAATGTTGTCAATCTAGACCAAACAGATGAGAATTTCTTCTCTATACTAGAGTCAAGAAAAGGATTTACTAAAGAAAAAAGTTTAGCAAAGATCCTAAGTGTATCTTGGAGCCACATTGCTATATTGGAGGGAGATTTTTCACGTACAAGGAAGAAGAGCAAACCCGTGAGTCAACAATGTGTCTGCTGGGTACAAGCATGGAACCATTGTGGCTTCTATGAAAATAAGGAAAAGAGAATACTAGAAAGTATAATAAAGAGAAAGTGAAACTGTCGCTGTTTGCTGATATGATCATATACCTAGAAAACCCTAAAGACTCATCCAAAAAGCTCCTAGAACTTGTAAATGAATTCAACAAAGTTTCAGGATACAAAATTAATGTACACAAATCTGCTATACACCAACGGTAACCTTGGGGAAAAGGGTGGGAGTGGGGGTGAGGGATAAAAGTCTACACATTTGAGTACAGTGTACATTGCTTGGGTGATGGGTGCACTGAAATCTCAGAAATCACCACTGAAGAACTTATTCGCATAACCAACCACCACCTGTTCCCCAAACACCTATTGAAATAAAAAAGTAAATAAAAATTTTTTAAAATAGAAAAAAAAAAGTTTAATAAAGAGGTAAGCACGGAGTGCTTTGTATACAATTCTAAGGACTCTAACTGTTATGGTAACTGAAACAGGAAACCAATGGATGGTTCTGAGAGACAAGACAAGTCTTCTGCCTTAACTGAAGATTTCTTGCTACTCGGAGGAAATACACTGAATAGAGAGCAAGGGCAGAACAGGGAGACAAATTAGGGGTCAACTGAAATAAATGAGATGATGATGTCATGGAGTATGTAGTATAAATGAAAGTAATCAAATATGGACACATTTTCAAAATATTTTAAAATATCAAACATGGTTTGTTAATATATGAAACATGGAGTAAAACAAGAGAAGAAAACTAAAATGTTCTTGCTCTCACTTTGGTTTTACGTTGAGCTCTTTTAAGAAATAAATTCAAAGCTCTTGAAAGTTGTACCCATGTCATATTCCTGCAAGTTACCTTAGACCTGTGTGGCGCCCTGAGTCCTGAAGTGTGTTAAAGATTCACTGTCTCTTTTCGGGTCGAGTTGTTTATACTTTGTGTTCTCACAGTGTTGTACTTAAAAACCCATCAACCTCCCCCCTTTTCCCAAGTGAATTTGAACTTGTATAAGAGGCAATAATCCCCAAATTCCCCTTTATCTATCTATTCATCTAAATACAGATGCTCCTCAACTCATGATAGGGTTATGTCCCTATAAACTCATGATAAATTCAAAGTATTTTAAGTCGAAAATGCATTTACTACACCTAAACTACTGAACATCAATCATAGCATAGACTAGCCTACCTTGAACATCCTCAGGACACTTGCATTAGCCTGCAGCTGGGCAGAATTATCTGACAACACGGCACGCTGAAGAATGTTGGTGGTTTATCCTGATGATACCCTGGCTGACTGCCCAGCATCTGGAGAGAGCATCATACTGCTTATCACTAGCCTGGGAAAAGATCAAAATATAAAATTTCAAGTATAGTTTTACTCAACATATATTTCTTTCACACCATCCTAAAGTTAAAAACCATGAATTGAACTGTAGTTAAGTTGGGGGCTACCTGTATTCATGTAATGCTTACAAAATGCCAGAGAAGTTCTCGAATTTATATAGAGCGTTATCACTCATTCGGTTCTTACAGCAATACTTTAAGGTAAATGTTACAATTACCTCTAATTTAGAGATTTAAAAACAGACACAGAAGGCTTAGAGTGAGTCTGCAAAGTTACTTAGTGATAGTTGCAGAGCCAGGATTCAAATGCTATGGGAAATATCATGCTCCTAACTGCTCCAAATTCACTATGTTTTTATACTTACTTACGTTAGAAAAGTTCCTGGGCATCCCATATACCTCAAATAAGCATGGAAAATAAAAGTGATGTAAGAAACTCAGTATAAACGCATTTTTTACATTAAAAACAAGTTTTGGGAGTTTATTACATAACATTTACAATTTTAGGTTCTTGCTCTTCATACACTTACACAAATTAATGCCCAAATATATTTTTGACATTGTATATTCTAAATTAATAATTTACAACTTAAATTATCAGTTCAGTGGTCACATGACTTATCGTCAAACTTGAAAAGCGTTGACAGTGAAAGAGAATGGTAATAATTATGCCAGGACAATAGGCATAAAGGATTGTCCCGGGCAGTTCCCTTAGAGGTGGGTCTATGCAGATACAATGAAATGGCTTTGCTTCTTCAACATTAAGCTGCCAGATTGATTCTCTAATTAAAATAATTAATTCAGGTTTTCTATGCTATACTATTCATTTTTGGAAATGCATTTTTTTACTTTACACAGGTAAAAATCTGCCACTCTAGTAAACTAATACTCATAATTCTAAGTTTGTTTCCTGTTGTCTTGTTAAATTTCCTACTGTTGCAATTGTATTCGTTACTCAATCATTAGGTGAATATAAAGCATTTCCATGAAACATCACGCTGTGAAATGGGAAAATGACCTTCAGCTTGGAAAATCATGGTTTTAGGATCTTTGTATTTGTTTTCTAAATTTTTTAAAACTTTTCCCAATGTTTACACTAAAGCAAGAGACTATTAACTTAGCACTGTGGTTATGGTGCTATGTTAAGCATAGGCAAGTGAATAGACGTCCTTTTTCTTTTCTCAACAGTATGATCCCCAAACTTTTTCCCTTATTGCCATTCCTGGTGTTGGGGTAAGGTAATATATCCCAATGCATAAGACCTTTCTCACATTCTGGAAATACTATTCTCTCTTATAAGCACCCCCCTAACAACAACAACATGTTATGATCATGTTATTCCCCTACCACAAGAATGAATGAATTTCCACTGTACACAATATGAAGTGTGACTTTTTACCATTGCTTGAGGGTGTTAATCTGTAGCAGGACAAGCCTCAGACAAAACCCCTCAGACACCGCGTTAAAGAAGAAAGTGGCTTGGCCTCGCTATTCATTTTGTTTTTTACTTAAAATACTTTTTTCCACCCCACCCCCACCCCCACCCCCCCATTTTAACATCTCTGAACCTGAGAAGGGAATCCCAATCACAGCTGGTCTGGTGGCAGTCGTGGTGTTAAGCTACTGTCAGACCGCTTTTTATGAACCTGGTCAATAACTGTTCATGATATCCGCACTTCTATTATTTAAATAAAAACAAATTTTTCAACTTTTGTAACATTTCTAGTTAGAAAGTTATTGCATTGTACTTTTCATGAAAGCATTAGTTTTTCCTTCTAAATATTGCAGGTAAATCCAATGAAGCATCTTATAATCAATACGTCTTAAATTTGATGGAGTACAGAAGCTTGCAGAGGTTGTTCCTAAATTTTTTTATTCATGTACATCATATTTTGGAAACATGGTCCTCTCTTACAAATATCTCAGTACTATTATCAACATCAGATAATGTAATCATGTAATAATAACACAGCATTTCCGTAGTGTATATTCGACAATGCAAATTGATATGTGTTCTACAAAATGACCAACAATCTTCAATAGTTTCAAAGTCAAGACAGAGAAAGTATTCCATATTAGAGGAAACTATGGAAATATGCCAACTAAATTCAATATGTGAGCCTGAATTGGATTCTGGAACTGAAAAGGAATATTAGTGACAAAGTAAAAGTTGAATAAAATCCCTAGATTGGCTAATAGTATTACATTAAGGTCAACTTGCTGTTTTTTATAACTGCATTTTTTAATTACATAAGCAAACACCACTTGGGAAGCTGGATAGGTAACTGGGTTCTGTGCTATTTCTGCAACTCTTGTATACATTTGTATCAACCTAAAAAGTTAAAAAACAAATATAAAAAGCAAAATAAATTTTATTTCAAAAGAAACCAAAGTTGTATTTTAGAAACATATCTATGGTAACTGATAAAATTTGATTTTATTGATTATATTAAAAAAGTAGATGATGTGAATTGATGAACTTAAAGAATGGGGCTAACTGAAGAAGCATAACACACAGCCACGCACACAATGCTACTTCCTGAAAATTAAATTTGTGAATGTCACTAAACTTGTTACTTTTTAATGTTCCTGGAATTATATTACAGAAGTTACTAAGAGATTATTTTAGACAGCTAGAAAGGGAAAAATGTCCTCAGTAAGGCTTTTTCCTTTAATAAAAAAGCAATCCCCAAAACATTTCATTTCTAACAGCAGCCTGAAAAGCCAGACCTGCAAGTATTGATATGCCATATGTAAATACAAGAGGCTCAGAGTCAGGTACACTCAACATGGTGGTTCCCTCTACTTTTTCTTTGCTACCACTTGTGCAGACATCATGACAGTGAGCCAGGGAGAGGCCATGTGTCTACGTATCATGGCGACCAGCCAACTAGCCACATTTACATAATGAAAGTTAGCGTGGGCAGGACTTTAGGGGGCTACTTGAACACCACACCTGGTCAAGCCAACCTCTTCGGCCCTATGCAAATCAGACACCACCTTCTCAAGCCTCCCAATGTAACCAACTGCCTTCTGCCCCCTGTGGAGTTATTTGGTTTGGAGCTCTCCTCTAAGGAAAAGCCGTTCTCTTCTTTCTTACCTACTAAACTTTCCACTCCTTAATCAGGCTCCATCTGTGTCTATCACTAATTTTCTCAGCACGAGACCAAGGACCCTATGTGTTTCCCCAGAAAATGGAGCAATGTCAATTGGACCAATAATCATGTGGGTCACTGAAAGACATGCCTTTGACATATGCATTCATTTAAATTACTTCACATCTTTTTTAATAAGAAAAAAACACCTTCACTTTATTAAGAAAAAACACCTTCACTTTAAAGATAATCAGTATTTCCATTTTAGTACTATTTAAAGAAGAGTTTTAAGATTAACTTTCACGAGGAACTATTGTCAAGAGATTGATCACTTACACGTGGTGTGCCTGGAACTAGTGAGTTCTTGCTCTCGCTGACTTCAAGAATGAAGCCTCTGACTCTCGCAGCGAGTGTTACAGTTCTTAGAGATGGTGCCTCCGGAGTTTGTTCCTTCAGATGCTCACAAGCGTACGGAGTTTCTTCCTTCTGCTTGGTTCCTTGTCTCCCTGACTTCAGAACTGAAGCTGCGGACCTCCACGGTGAGTGTTACAGCTCATAAAAACGACACAGACCCAAAATCTAAAGAGCAGCAAGGCTCACCTTCAAGAACAAAAGAAAAACCACCCCTTACTCTATGCAAGGAAACCAAAAGAGCACTACCCCCGCTGGCTGGCCTGCTTTTATTCCCTTATCTGGCCCCACCCACATCCTACTGATTGGTCCATTTTACAGAGCGTTGATTGGTCCATTTTACAGAGAGCTGATTGGTCCATTTTACAGAAAATTGATTGGTCCACTTTACAGAGAGCTGATTGGTCCATTTTGACAGAGTGCTGATTGGTGCATTTACAAACCTTTAGCTAGACACAGAGCGCTGATTGGTGCATTTACAATCCTTTAGCTAGACACAAAAGCTCTCCAAGTCCCCTACCCAATTAGCCAGACACAGAGCGCTGATTGGTGCATTTACAAATCTTAGCTAAACACAGAGCGCTGATTGGTGCATTTACAAACCTTTAGTTAGACACAGAGTGCTGACTGGTGCATTTACAATCCTTTAGCTAGACACAAAAGCTCTCCAAGTCTCCTACCAGATTAGCCAGACACAGAGCGCTGATTGGTGCGTTTACAAATCTTAGCTAGACACAGAGTGCTGATTGGTACATTTACAATCTTTTAGTCAGAAAAATGTCTCCAAGTTCCCGCCGGACCCAGAAGGCCGGCCTGCTTCACCTCTCAATGGCACTCGCCGCGGGACTTTGTGGCAGGGGGCCCGGGCACTCAGGCAACCCAGAGGAAGCTCATCCGTGATCAAGCCCAGCGGGCAGCGGCGGCAGCGTGTAGTGCGGGGCCCCTCGAGCCGGCGCCGCCCCCCTCCCGTGGAGCCCACACCGCCCTGGCTTCCGCCCCGCCCCCCCGCCGCCTCCGCGGCGCCTCTCCCTCCCCACCTCCCCGCGAGCAGAGGGAGCCGGCCTCGGCCAGCCCCAGAGAGGGGCCCCCACAGCTCAGCGGCGGGCTAAAGGGCTCCTGGAGCGCCACCAGAGTGGGACGCTGAGGCCGAGGAGGCGCCGAGCGCTAGCGAGGGCTGCTAGCACGTTGTCACCTCTCAATAGGATTAACAACATTTATTAATGCCTATGACAAGGTAGGCCGTGTGATAGATGATCAAACCAAATATAAACACAAAACCTGTTTGTCATGGTTAATTGAAAATATAGACAAACTAGCTGAGTAAATACGTATACATTAAACATAGAGGGAACATGAATAACTCCAATGACAGTGGAAGTTGCTAATGAAGACATTGTTTTTTAGAGGGTAGAGAATTCCAAGTGGTTTGCAGTTACTTTTAACTATTTGAAAATATTTTCTATTGTAATTTGGCTTTTATTGTTGCTGTTGTAATGTCAGCTGTAAAGCTTAGTGTTATTTTGTAGGTAAAATTTCCTTCCTCCTATCTCTGCTCCCATCTTGACTTCTGACTGTTTTTAAGCTTTTCTCTACATCTTTGGTTTTCAACAATTCTGTTATACTTTTTGATGTTTTGTAGTCTGGTATTTTTTAGTTTCCCCCACTTAAGGTTTTTATTACTTTTATGTCTGTGGCATTATGTCACTTCCAGGTTTTGACAATTCAGAGACATGACCTCTTTGATAATTGATTCCTAATAATTCTCAACTCTTTTCCCCTAATTAAATATATTTTAGAGCCTTTTACCATGTTACATGTGCTCTTACCCTCTAGTCTACATTTTCCTTCTTTTATGTTATTTATTTTATTTATTTATTTTTGAGACATGGTCTCCCTCTGTCGCCCAGTCTGGAGTGCAGGGGCAACATCTCGACTCAGTGCAACCTCTGGATCAAGGAATTCTTGTGCTTCACAAGAAAAAATAGCTGGGCGTGGTGGCACATGCCTGTACTCCCAGCTACTTGGGACTCACGCTCATCAAAATGTGTGTGTGTTTTTAGTAGAGAGGGGGTTTCACCGTGTTAGCCTGGCTTGTCTGGAACTCTGGGCCTCAGGCAATCTGCCCGTCTTAGCCTCCCAAAGCATTGGAATTACAAGCACCTTGGCCCATTTTCCTTCTTTTAATTGCTTATGCTTCTATCTGGATGTTTACTTTTGACCTATCTTTCTGTTCATTAATTTTCTGTTCGCCTGTGTCTAATCTGCTGTTCAACACATAAAATGGAGTTTTCATGTCTATTTTCTCTTTTGGTTTTTGAGTAAACGTTGGTTTATTTGTTAAATAAATCGTGTTGTGTATATTTAAGGTGTATGTAACATGAGGTGAGATACATATAGATAGTAAAAAGGTTAATATAATTAAGCAAATTAAAATATCTATCATCTCACATAGCTATTTTTTGTGTGTGTGTGCTAAGAACAGCTAAAATCTATTCATTTAGCAAAGATCCCAAAAACTGCAATATTATTAACTACAGTCTTTTTCACATCTTCGTGTTGGTCTCTAGCCTTCTTCACCCTATGTATCTGCAACTTTGTATCCTTTGACATACATCCTCCACTTTCCTTCTCCACTGGATCCCTGGTTACCACTGTTTTATTCCGTGTCTGTATATTTGACCTTTTTAAAGAAATAGATTACACATATGAGATAATGCAATATTTTTCTTTCTGTGTTTGGCTTACCTTTTACTTAGCATAATGTCCTCCAGGTTTATCCATTTTGTGGCAAATGTCAGGATCTCCTTTTTAAAGGCTGAATAATATTCATTATATATATGATTATATGCATACACAATACACACACACACATACACACGTACCACAGTTACTTTACGCAGCTGACATTTAAGTTGCCTTTTTTTTTTTTTTTTTTTTTGAGATGAAGTCTCACTCTCGTCCCCCAGGCTGGAGTGTGATGGCATGATCTCGGCTCACCGCAACCTCTGCCTTCTGGGTTCAAGCAATTCTCCTGCCTCAGCCCCCTGCATAGCTGGGATCACAGGCGCACACCACCAGGCCCGGCTAATTTTTGTATTTTTAGTAGAGATGGGGTTTCGCCATTTTAGCAAAACTGGTCTCGAACTCCTGACCTCAGGTGATCCGCCCGCCTTGGCCTCCCAAAGTGTTGGGATTACAGGCGTGAGCCACTGTGCCTGGCCTAAGTTGCTTCTATATCTTGGTTATTGTGAATAATGCTGACTAAACATGGGAGGGCAGATATTTTTACAAAATGGTGATTTTTATTTTCTTTGGGTATATACTCAAGGAATTGCTGGGTCTTATGGTAGTTCTATTTTCAGTTTCATAGGGACCTCCATATTGTCCATAAGGTTGCACTAACCTAAAGTCCAATCAGCGGTGAGTTCTCTTTCCTCCACATACTCACCAATAGTTGTTAGCTTTTGTTTTTTTGAGAATAGCTATTTTAATAGGTATGAGGTAATATGTCATAGTCGTTTCGATTTGCATTTCCCTGATGATTAGGGATGTGGAACGTCTTTTCATGTAACTGCTGGCCATTTTTAAGTCTTCTATGGAAAAATGTCTCTTCAGGTCCTTTTTCAATTTTTTAATTGGGTTTTTTTTTTGGCTATTAAATTCTATAAACCTTTATAAATTTTGATACTACTTATCAGAAATACAATTTCTAAATACATTTTCTCAATTTATAAGTTGTCTTTTCTTTTGCTGATTGTTTTCTTTGATGTTCAGAAGCTCCATTGGTTTATTTTATAAACATTTATCAAAATCAATATATAATTTTTTTTTTCATTCAGTCTGTGTTTCCTTATGGTTTTCAATCTTGTCTGATCTTCTGGTATGCCTGAGAACTTCTGATTTAGTGACAGATTGTGAAAATTATGTAGAAAAATTAAGACCCAGGATAAAGCTTATTTTTATTGATGGAAGTGGAGTAAAATGGCCAAATAGAAGTTTCCACCACTCATCCTCCCCACAGGAATACCAACTTGAAAAACTATACACACACAAATGCATCTTTATAACAACCAAAAGTCAGGTGAGTGATCACACTACCAGATTTTAACTTCATGTCACTGAAAGAGACACTGAAGAGGGTAGGGGAGACAACATTGAACTGCTAATGTCCCCCTTCTCCGATCCCCTGGTGGTGGCCCTGGGGCAGGAAGAGATAATCTGTGCACTTGGGGAAGGAAGAGCGAAATGATTGTGGAACTTTACATTAGAACTCAGTGCTGCCCTGGCACAGCTGAAAGCAATGCAAGACAAAACTCAGCTGACTCACAAACACAGAGGGATTTCATTAACACCTGACCTGTCCTAAAAGAAATGCTGAAGGAAGTTCTCCAATTTGAAAAAAAAAAAAGAGAATGTTAATGAGCAATAAGAAATCATCTGAATACATAAAAACCTCTCATAACAGTAAGTACACAGAAAAACACAGAATATTGTAACACTGTAATTGTGATATGGAAACAACATATATTTTGAGTAGAAAGACTGGAAAATGAATCAATAAAAAATAACTACAATAACTTTTCAAGACATAGTACAATCAGATAGAAATAAAAACAATGAAATGTTCAGAAGCAGAGGGATGAATTGAAAGTGTAGAGTTTCTTTTCTGTAGTTTTCCCTTTGTTTCTTTGTCAGTATATTTGTTTATGCAATCACCGTTCAACAGTTTAAAATAGTGGGCTTTAAGTTATTTGCAAGCCTCATGATAACCTCAAATAAAAAAATGTACAATATATACACAAAAATAAATAGTAAGAAATTAAAACATACCAGCAGAAGAAATCACCTTCACTAAAAGGAAAACAGAAAGGAAGAAAAGAAAGAAGACCACAAAAGAACCAGAAAAGAAATAACAAAAGTGCAAGAGTATGTCCTTGCTCATCAGTAATATCACTGAATATGAATGGACTAAAGTATCCAATGCAAATACATTGAGTGGCTGAGTGGATTAAAAAAAAAAAAAAAAGACCCAATAATCTATTGCAGACAAAATAGATTTTAAGACAAAAAGTGCAAAAAGAAACAAAGAAGGTCATTATATAATGATAAACGGATCAATTCAGAAAGAAGATTCTACAATTGTAAATATATATATACCCAACATTGAAATGTCCAGATATATAAAGCTAATATTATTAGAGATAGGCTTCAATAATAGCTGAAGACTTC